TCTGTTAACAGTTGTGAAATTATTGATTTTCTTTTTTGGTTGTAGTTCCAAAAAATTTGAAGTGTGTAACTGTGCTATGTATTGTGCACTTTTAAAACAGTTCACCCAGTTCCGACATTGATGTGAATGAAACTGCGCTATGAAGAGCATACGAGCTTTTTAGATTACAAATTTCTCTTGGTGGGTTTGAGCAAACTACTCCAAACATTTATTTTGAACATGTACAATGAAAGAACATCCTTTGATGGATCTGTACACTACTTTTTTTTTTTTTGTGCTGATTATGTAAATAAAAATGTTACAAGTTGCTTTCCTGAAATGCTAGGCAAGAACATCAGTTTTAAGTAACTTCCAGTCAATATTATTGCTCGTGAGTTTCCCAGTCTGTAGTGAGAGTTGAACTTGACTGGCATGATGTCATTTGTCTGGCACCTTTGGTTTCTGCTTGCATTGCAAATAGTTTACAGGACTTAATCCGGATATTTTTTTCTATGCAACTAGCTGTCCTCCAGCTGGACCTCTCTCTTCACTGACATCTGACTTAGTCCACTTAATTTATTATCTTGTGTTGAGCTTCTCAAGCCCACATAGGGCTCATTTGTTTTAGGTATTTTCTGTTAACATTGCTTTCAGTTGCCCAGGGATTGCCAGAGACGGAAGGGGGTTGATATGCTGTGGACAGGATGACTTACTTGCAGTGTTCTGGATTATTGACCGCTGAGGAAATTAGTTTGGGCAAAAGGGTTGATTTCCTTTAAAGATGTGAGTAAACAAGGCTTGGCTTGGGTGCAGTATTCTCAAAAAGCTGATTTGTGTCCCTTAAACTACTTGAGAAATTTCTTCTGCTTGCTATTGCAAGCTAATTGTGTGAGCTGTTCCTCTAGAGAAGGGGAAATGATGTTTCCTGACGGGGATGGAATGGGTACCCTGCATAGTATGGTATCCACAGAGATGCTGAACAGCTGAGCTATGTTGGCAGGCTGCCAGCCTTAGGGCTTGTGAGAAAAAGCTGTTGTTTTGCTAGAGGATCTGTGTCTCAGGAATGTCTTGCCTCCTTAGCTGACTCCTAATTCACCTCCCTGTGACCTGTCTTCCTGAGGCCGAGCGGATGTCAGGGTAATCTAATACTGGCATACTTACTTGGGACACTTAAAGCTGACCTTCAAAAAGGAAAGGCTTCTCACCAGAGCATTTGTGTCCTAGCTGTGGCATGGCTGTTGCTGCTGTGCAAACTCAGACAGGTTTCTGTGCAGATAAAGGCAGACTGGGGAAAAAAAAAGGAAAGACTGGGAAGGGCTAAATACTTAGTTTGTGTTTGTCTTCACTTGAGAAAAATTAATTGATGAAGAAACAAAGAACCTCTGAAAACTTGACACTTAACTAATTGGCAGCTTGAGGATTAACATATGGCAATATAATTATTAGTAGCTGCATGTATCAAACTACTTTTCTTAAACAAATTGACAGGTTAAAGGGATGAAGTGTCCTTTAAACATAATGAAAATAACATTTTCATACTGTTTTTGTAAGATTTAATTTTTAAGGGAATTTTGCTGATTTTTAGTAATTTATGCAGGATACACTCAAAGCTGTGGCTAAGCTTGTGCTGGATTAACAGTCTCCCCTCTCTGTTTTGAAAAAGAACACATTCCTTGTGATGGCAGGCAGGCTTGAGATCAAGCTTAAGTGACCTGTATTGAAGAGGTTTTAAACTTTAGCCTTTAGAAAACTTGCACTGTAGCTCGCTTTTTGTAGCGTGAACTTCTTATACATTATCTCTAAAGGCCTGTAAAGATAACTGTTTCTTTTCCTCTAGCTGTTTTTACAGTGAGCAGCAAAACATTTTGAGTGAAGCCTCTGGGCACCTTAGTATTTGACCATAATGCAGTGCTACTAGTTGAAGCTGTGTAAGTAACAGGAAGATAGGATATTTTGTAAATAAGGAGGTCATTTGCCTGCTGGCTTTTGAAGAGGGGAAAAGGCTACCCTTTATTGGTACTCATAAGCCTTTTCTTGCAGTCAGGAGGCCTAGATTCTAAATAGTAGCTCAGCCCAAAGCAATCACTTAAACACTACTGAAAGAACACACCAGCTGTAGCCCAGTTTGTTATAATCCTGTACTGACAACTGGTGAACTGGTATTCCCTAGGGACTACTTCAAGGAGTAATAACCAGTGAATGTTACTTGCTGCTCACGGGCCAAGGTGCAGCTGCTCTTCATAGTCCTAAATGCATCTGTAAAACAAGCAGGGAAGGATAGCTACATCTTTCTTTTGGAAAGCTGAGTGATATGAGTACTATATCCAAAGATTTAGTTTTGAGGAGATACTGCAGAATAAATACTGCAGTGATGTGTGTTAGTGTTATGATATACTCTGGTACATACTGTATCTGAAGCTATCTGATACTAGATAGAACCTTGTACTAGGCATTGTGCAAAAATAGTGGAGGCTGTTTGCTCTTACAGGAATGCATTTTTTCAGTGCTTTTCTGCCTCTACAGTTTTTTTAGCAGTAGAATTGTGTTTGCAAAAGAGCTTATGTTTTTTTAAAGTAAATTACAAACTAAATGTGGTTTAACTATATATCCATGCTAGTGGGTTGCACAGATTAGTCTAAATGTCTGCCAACATAGCTCTATTGGCATAGTGCCTTGTATCCTTCTCACACAAGAACTGTTGTCTACAGCTGGCAGATGACTGTCATGACAAACAGTTTGCAGTATCTCCGCAGTTTGCAGAAGAACTCTTCCAACTGCAAATGTTCTGATAAAGTTGTGTGAAAAGTGGAGAGAAGATTAAAGGATGAGACATGAGAAAGACTGATGCAAGGAGAACAGGAAAAATGGGATGAGGCAGATAGGAACACACTGGAGGGAAGCTCTGATGCTGACAGCTGCTTGATAGAGTCTATTTTAATTTCCAAAAATCTTTGAAGAATGTTACATACAAAGTCTTTGAGGAAATTGGGACATAGCTGGAAAGGATAGTGGTTGCATGGATTGTTTATAAGCCTGGAAGCAGTGGGTAACTGCCCTGTGAAATGAGAGAGAGAGGCAGATGCTGAACTTCCACAGGGTTCTGTTAATGAGATAAATGCCTTCCAGTGTGGTCCTAAGTGATCCTGGAAAGAGGGGTGAACAGTGAAAGCATGAAGGTTGTTGCTGGTGGTGGTTGTTCAGAATGGTGAAAACAAAGGCACATGGGGGAATTCAGGAATACAGAGACTGCTGGTGAAACTGTGCATCTTGTATTCTTTTGTGTAGTGATGACTACCAGACTACCAGTCTTCTTGAAAAGGTTCTGCATGATGAACAAGTTAAGAGGAAATGTGCAAGGAAAAAGTTGTAGATTTTCCATAGGTAAAATCTTTTCCAAATCAGAAATAGTGCTAATTGTTACATCACTCAGTAAGTACGGAGACATCTAAATGTGAGCGGTAGTATGCTTTCAGTTTCCATAGGTCTCAGTCCATGCTGTCTTTTGAGAATGGTATCCAAAGGAGTCTCTTTAGAATTATTATATAGGCAGCTTGCATCCATGTGTAAACCCGAAGTCGGAAGACAGGCAAATGTGATCTGAATGCTGAGAAGCTTAAAATTAGTTGAAAATGTTAGTGGAACTCCTAAATTTCTTACTGATTTGTTAGATGTACTTCTGATTACAATAGTGCTGCCATTCTATTTGATAGCAAATACTGTATTATTTTTCTGAGATAGACTGACAAGTAGTTGTTCTCTAGTATTTCAGCATACTAGGGAATTGAGCCTTTTTGATTACATGCAGTCTCCTGACTTTATTGGCACTGAAAAAATTGTGATTCTGAATAAAGACATCAGTTACTTCCTTCTCATATACTTATTGGGAAGTAGTTATGACACCAGAAAATTAATTGTATTTACATAGAGCGTATGAGTTAATTTTTTAAATTTATATTTTAATGTGTCTCTTCATATTGTGTTTGTGATCTTGTGTTACTTTGGACAGATCAAATGCAATGTTTGTTTGTTTTTCTGAAACATTTGCCTCAAATGCTTCGACTAAAATTCTCATTGGAATGCATTATCAGGAGGAGTTGAACTTCCTGAAAGAAATTTGGATTAATTTAGCATACTGGGCAGCAGATAAAATGGGGGCTCTAAAGCAGTGGCTTTTAAGCTTCCTATTCCAGAGGATTATTCTTGGTGCTTGGTGTTTCCTAAATCACTAGACCTAAGACAGCAGTAACAGGACAGTGTTTTCTTGTGTGTGGTATTGTCTCTGACTTCAGGCTACCCAAAAGATCTTTTTAGAGACTAGACATTTTCAGTACTGTTTTGCTGGTGGAAAATTATTCATTTTGTATTATACTTGAAAACATAGCTTGTTACTGTGGTACTTAAGAAAATTCTGATCATTCAGACATGGAAATTAGTCATGTTAAATAGCTTGGCACCTGGCATAATTTTTTTTTTTTAAATGTTCCAATTCTCTGGTATTGTGAAGAACTACTTTGTTTGGTTTTGTGAAGTTGGGATTAAGAGTAAATCCACAAAAATGCATCTTTAGTATTCAAAGAAACTGATTTAGATGTAAGTATCCCATCTGCAGTTAAATGCTGGAAATAAGTAAATAGTTACCAAAAGGACTCTTAACACCCTTTTTGCTTATATTTTGATTTTTATACTTAAAGACAAAACTAGTTTTAAATCTGTAATATTAGAACAGTTCTGATACAAAAGGCAACATGGGATTTTGCTGGTACTTAAAAATTTATGAGTAGATCTTTTGGTTCTAAATAGAACCAGTTTTTTGTTATTTCTGTATGCTTTAGAGGGAGAGCTCAAGAAGTGCATGGGAGATAGACCACTCTTCAGACTAATATATATTTATCCTGTTTCTTAAAGCTGACTTGGTTTGTGTTTCTTTGCTTTTTAGTATGATGGTACTTGCCTGTGAACCTTCTGGGTGAAGTCTAATACTGCTGTTCTAACCTATTTATTTTTTTTTTTCCCTCCAGGGTTTGACATCTGTAAGAATGGCAGACATAGACAAGTAAGTAAAATCTGTAGGATGCTGAGGCTCTAACTGTGTTCTAGGTGTACTTTGGATGGCTGTAATCTCCAGATACTTGATAAACAGTATCTAGGTAGTGATCTTGGCACTGTAGCAAGATGTAAGATTTATAGCGTGTGGGATAAAAGCTTGAGTTGCTCATGCCAAATTGATTTGAAATCTTAATTGTAAGTAAATAAACTGGGGCAAAGTACTAGTAAACTTACCATGTTACTTGGGATTCTGGAGGAGAAAACCCAATAGTACTGCACATTACTATTGTTTAACTATATGTAATATTTTTTCCTTCAAATGCTCATATTTTATGGTGTTCAAAGTCTAGTTTAGGTGAACCTACCCTTGGTTCTCAAGGCCTACAGGTCTTAACAAAGAGGAAGTGTAGAGCGGGAGGCAGCTTTGACGTGTTGGTATGAACAGGAGCTGAAGAAATTATTTTGTAAAAAGGAATCTTCAAAATTCTGGAAAACTGCTAGTTCTTAAAACTGTTTTAGATTGTCAAATATGAAACTTGAATCTATGAAGACAAATTTAGCTTTGGTTGGCTCTTAAGGCTTCTAGTTTGTCATAGATCAAAACTGATGCAACAGTTTACTTTTACCTGTTTGATAACTGACTTGAGCTCTTTAGGTTGATTACAGTATTTTATTAAAATAACTTCTTGATCCTGTTGTTGAATATTCCTAATAGCAAAGAACAGTCTGAACTTGATCAACAGGATATGGAAGATGTTGAAGAAGTAGAAGAAGAAGAAACTGGTGAAGATGTCAACAGCAAAGGTAATCTGGAAAACAAGGGTTTCTAAGCAGCTGCATATGTTCTTTCCAGTTAATGTGTTAAAAGTAGCTTACAGATTAAAATAATGGAAAATGGTAAAACATAACTATTGATGCACAGCTGTGTTAAAATTCTGAAGCAAGGACTTTTTTTTCCAGTTGTGTGGTTTTTAAGTTACTTTCATTCACTCATTTTAGTCATGGTTAGTACCATCTCAGGCAGTGCACTGGCCACATGTAAGGGTGTATAATTGGAAAAGAAAGGGTGATTGTGAGTATGTGACTAGATTAGTTCAAAATTAACAGTTAAAAGCTTTTAAAATGTGAAGCTTTAGAAAAAATCATCAGGTGCATATATTTGTGTATGTCTCCTTTTTTTTGATCACTTGTGTGGCAATTTGCTGCTGTGTTGTTTCATTGTGAACAGCACAAAAAATAGGCTTAGTGTTACCACTCTAAAAATCAAGAAATCCTTCCCCCCCAACAAAAAACTTCAGAATGTGTCAGAATACTTGTTTTGTCTGTACTGTCTTACTTATGCTTTGTAGTTAAAGATTTGGGGTACAGATAGTATCTGAAGAGTAAGGAACCAAAATATCTATTTATCGTGTTTATCCAAAATATCTACATCTCTGCAATAAAACTACTTTGACTGCTGATAGTGCCACATCATGTGATTACTTGAACAGAGTAATTACACTAAAGAAAAGTAGGATAATTTTGCTCGAGTGTTTTGAGAACTGGATTGCAAAATTCTGGGGAACACACTGGTCAGCTGCAAAACAGCTTATAGTAATTAAATGGTAAGTATTCAGGTGTCCCAAAGGAACATAGAGGTGAATAATGTTTTTAGTGATTAATCCCAGGTACTGTAGATGAGGATCTGAGGGGAAATTACAGTGTAGGAATCTTGGAGGGATATTGGGTTTTATAAATCAGAAACATTTTTCAGCAGCAGTTGTTAATATTTTTTAACTTTCTTGCTTGTCTAGTTTTCTAGCATTTTTCTAGCATTTTTTCATGCACAGTTTTTCCTTAGGTTTTACTGATATACTTTAAAAAAAAATAAAAATCTGTATAATTAATTTTTTAAATACATCAGAGGTCCTTCTGTGGACATTAAGTAAAGCACTTGTGCTTTTAGGAAAAACCCTTTTTGAGGAAGTAGTGTTCATGGATCCAAGAACTTGCAAAACTGAATATGTGATTGGGTTTCAGTGCGAGGGGTCATTGGCATGCCATGTGTATGTTATATATGCCAGTATGGTATTAAAGAATAACTGGCAACATAACCAACAGGCACAACTGGGTAGGCTTTCTAGTGCATAGGAAAGACTAATGAGTAAATTGTAGATACATGGACAGGAGTGTTGACTACTGTGAGGTAGTACCTTTAAGAGGTGAGTACAATTTCTACTGCTAAAATATAAACCGATTGGAATAATTATGAGGAAACAAGGCTGCTTGTTTGGATGTCATTTTAAACTTCGATTTTCAGCACGTGACTTCAGAGGTAGGACAAAGAAGTTGAAGTGTGTGGATACTGTAGTGAAGGGCATAGAAATGGGAATTGGTATGCTATTTCCAAAAGCTTTGTGCATCAGGAAGGATTCAAAAGCTTCACTCTAATTCAAAGATGTCCTAAGAATGCTATGTAAACCTAGTATCTTAGAAGAAATGCAAAGCACTCGTGTGCCTATTTGTAGATGTTGAGGATAAGGGGGAAGGCAGAAAAACAGCAAAAACTGAAGTTGTGGAATTGGTTTCTGCAGGTTGAGGCACAAATTATGAGCAGAAGTAAATGAGTTGTTAATACAGATAATGAGAACACTTAGGCTAGAAGTTTGTGGTTTGTTTTTTCTTTTTAAGTGTACTTCTACCTTGTAGATTGGAAGAAGTTTCCCATTTGGACAAAGTGCTTTCTAAAGGTGATGTAGAAGATAGACTTCAAGGGCCTAGTACTGATGTTCTGTAGTCAATAATAGGTCAGACTATTCTACTAAAGCAGTTTTAAATCTAAGTCTGAAACGCTTGGTTTTTTATGTAAAATGGAATGAACTCTCCAGTTTTTATAAACTTTTTAAAAGCACAAATTCTTCCTTGCTTTTCCCTTATTAATTAAAAATAAAACCTGTTGAGGTAAAACTGATGCTTTTAGAAGCATCATATAAAACGTTCCCTTATTAAAAAAAAAGCTCAGCTTGCTGAATAGTGGCTATTCTACTCCAGATGCTGCTTCCATGTTCAGATTAGAATGGATTTGATCCATGCTTCCAAAATGGAGAGGTGTTTGAAATACTTTGCTTATGTTTCTTTCTACAAGTGTATACATAGAAAACCTACTGGTCTTCTGTAGTGTTTAAGTCAATTTTATTTCAAGATTAGTTGAAAAGATGCACTTTGCACTGACATGATTTTCTTTTTTATTTTAGCTCAGCAGTTGACTGCGCAGATGATGCAAAATCCTCAGATTCTTGCAGCTCTTCAGGAAAGACTTGATGGTCTGGTAGGAACATCAACAGGGTATAGCGAAAGGTACAGACAGGATTTGTTCAGTATGAGCAGAGGGGTATAAATGATTATTTTGCTTTCTCAACAGTATTGACTGTAAAATCATAGTCATAAACAATTGTTCTGCCCAGATAGAAAGAAAACTAATATAATTTGTCTGTAGTGTATCTCAGAATTGAAGAGTTTTCATTTGGGCTTTTATGAAGAAGAGTGCTAAAATGTTTACAGTGGCTGACCCTGTCCCCTGCAGTTAAAAAATGGCACACTTTTAAAAAATACACTCCTGATGCTTGGCATATCTTTTGTAGCTTTACCTTAATCATGGAATGTGGAAAATACTTGGAGACCTAGTGTCTCTAATATATAGTCTTTTTGTTGTTAGAGTGTAACCAGGAGCTAATAAAGCGAGGAACCTTGTGTCAGTGCTTCATGTGGTTTCCTTGTGTATCAAAACTTAGAACAACTGCTTGCTAAAATTTTCTTGGTTTGATCTGAATTAACAGATAGAATTTTCTGTCTCTCGTGTAATTCTGATTGTGTATGAACATTTCGCTTCATTCACAGGAACTGTAAAGCATACAGCTGTCTTGTTGTGGTAGGATCCTACATTGCTGTTGACTTGAACTGGGGCAGCTAATGAGTAATAGGCCTTACTGCTGCTGCTACTCCTACTCATACCACTCTCCTGTTAGATATGATAGCACAGAAGAAAAGTTCGTTAAACTAACAACCTTTCCTAATAACTAAAGTTGCAGGGTACCCAGGTTCTTTCTCTTCTAGATACTGTCCAGTATGAGCTTTCTAAACCAAATATTTTTCTTCTGTTTTTCAACAGATGTTCATTAACCTCTACTAATATTTCAGGTCCTTGATCTAAGAAGTGAACAAAAATGGTAACATTGATTTACATGGCATTCTTTTAGTCAGCTGCTCTCTAAGTTACTGTACAATCTCTTCATCAATTCCAAGTACAGTCGTGCACTCTCTTATCGCAAAAGCAATGCAGCTTGGCCATTGTTATTAAATGCTTTCCTAACTTGCCAGAACAAAAATAGCTGGGAAATGTGTGTAACTTTTTTGCACTTTCTCAATATATGCATGCTGACTTGACCATGCTTTATAGTTGCCTCTTACGTGTCTTCCCAAGTACTATTTTGAACTTCCTTATCTACAGAGCCTAGACAATGAGATGGCACAGAACTCA